TGACATGTGTGCCACAATAATATTAAACACACACACTCTCCGGCGCTTTTTTTTTACAAATGCACCCGTTCCCGCGCCATTTATATTGAGTCGGTCATTAATATTGTGCAGAGGGCTTTGCACGATTTATGTATGCGCGACCGGTGCTAATTGTCGGCTGCCATTGTCCGGCTTAAATGTTGTCCTGTGACGTGGCTGCTTTTTATTATTTCATAAATATCCGTATTTGAAAAATTACAATTGATTGCTTTTAATATTTCAGCAATTGATATTGACGACGAGAAGAAAAATAATACACCATTCGTGATGGAACTTTTTGAAAGAGTTTACTATACAAAAATTGTGAATTACTCATTTGATTTTCTTCTATTAATTGCAAAAGTTCAATTTGTCTGCATTTGCTAATAATGTCAAAATGTGTGATACCAAAACTTTTTCTTTTGAAAAGATATTTCGCAATAATGCAATAAAAAATTTCTTTTTTATATTGTGTTTTTTAATTTTAATTAAAGAATTTACAATGTGATAAAAGTTAGTAAATTGTTATTTTAATGTGTAGAAAAATTTTCAATTAAACTAGTTCATCGCCATTTTCTCAGAAAGCGTTTTCCTTAAACGAGAACATTATTATAATTAGATTGATTCATCAAAGAGTATTGTAAGAGTGCACATTTTGAATAAGCTATTCAACATTGAACTATAAATTACAATTTATTTAATTATAAATTCTAATTCCAAATATATTTTAGAAAGCGATCTTATTTATTTAGATTTATTGTTTATTTGCAATATTTTTTTAAAATAAATTTTATAAATATTACCGGATAATTTCTTTTTATTAACTAAAATGGTTATTTAACGTGTTCAAAATATTTTATAGTAGTTTTCCAAATTTTATAAATTTCGAGGCACAAGACTAACATTGCAACATCAGATGTAATACATAAATATTTTTCTTTGCTGAGGAGTGTCTTAAATATTAAATTACAATTTTTTAGAATTTAAAACCCAAAGAAACCACTCGAAACGGGAAATAATCAATTAGTACTGAGAAAAGAATTTTAATTTTGGGAAATGTTCGCCTTCAATTAAAATTGTTTATTATCACAACAGGAATTTTTCTAACTTTTTTACACCGGCTTTGTCTCAAATATCTCGTTGTCTCGGAACGTAATTCCACGTCAAGGCGATTAGTCACAGTACTAATTAAATTTTTTAACTAATTTATAAATAAGCAAAGATCAGGTGGCATTTAAAAGATGATCCATACAATTCTCAAATCATCCGTTCCAAATTCAAGTTTGTGTCACAAACGCATGAATAAATTTTGACAGCGGGTAAAGTCGAAATGTCACGCACTTGTCGCACAATTATTATCTGCGCGAATAAGCCGCAGATAAATGCAAAGTGCGTAAATCATCGTTGCGGGAGGGAGGGAGGGAGGGCGTTTAGTGCCTTCATTTAGATAAAGCTGAGCAAAATAATATTACGAGCGCGTGTGTGCAAAGCAGTAGGCCAGCAGCATATAATAACAACAACAACAACAACGGCCAACATAAAAGCGCCATTAACCGCATAATGGAAACGACTGCTGATGCTTGGATATTAAAACCGTGGTAATGGCCGTGGGCACAAAATGATCACGACGACGAGCGGCTAATTGCAAATTATTGGCCGCGCCAGAGGCCGCTAATAAGGGGCTGTGTCAGGAATGCGCGTCGCCCGGCCAAGATTTCGCAAGAAAAGGTCTTCGGGGCTCTTGATGTCGCACCTCGGGCCAACAGCGAAACTAACTTTAATGTGCCTTGCTGCAAAGTTTCGCTCTCGAAACTAACTCGTAGCCAGGCATGTAACCCACACTCGAGTCTTGCTGGCGTGCGGCGTTTCATGCCAGACATTGTCTATGTGTGTTTAAGCATACCTGCCTGCCTTCTCGACTCCGCAGCCCCGCAAGCGCCGAATTAACAGTGCAAAGATGCCGCTATGAATTAGAGCAGGGCTTGGCAAAGGTGCGCTTTACATGCGAGGGTGTCTCTCTCTGGCTCCTGCGACAGAATGCAACCGCCCGGCTGGTAATTGTGCGGAGAAGCTGCCTCGCAAAGATCAACAAAAGAGAAGCGCGCGAATTTTAATAACCGTGTTAAGAGCAAAGTTTCGGCTCTGTCACTTTTGTCCCAAAGTTGTTGTTCTTCAAAGAACAGAGGGATCTTGTTTCAAAGTGTGCCCAGAGTGAGATTTTCAAATTAAAATTGTTCACAATTTCCTCTTCAAATGGCATTCCTGATTAATTTAAAAGTTCCATGCAATGTCAGAAAAATGCAAATCGCATGTCTGATCATTGTAGTTTTTAAAATTCAATTTATTTGTGGCTATAAACTTGAGTTGTTTATAATTTTGGCGAAAAAAATCTGACGTTTTCAAACAAATATTTTTCCACCATTCCAGTTAAAAAACTCATAAATTTCGTTCTTTTTGAGATGTAAAGCAGATCTCATTAAGGATTATGATTAATCAAGAGCTGAAAAGGATGATGAAAATAAATAATTTTAGTGTATGCATATTGGATGTAAATTTTATGTCATAAACTATAAATAACAATAAAAGAAATGTTAATAATTACAACGTAAATATTAAAGTCAATTTATAAAACTTTTTTAAATACAATTAGTACATTTTTACATAATTTAATAAATTATTTTTATTTTTACCAATATTTGTAATAAAGATGTTAAACAAATAAAATTTAGACTTTATCTCTAAATATAACCAATATTTCTTATTTCAATAACAATAATTGACTTGAACGAAACAATCACTGCTTGCCATGATGATAATTAATATCCCTCCCTACAACCTTGCCTTCTGTCTTTAGAATTCTAATTTTGATTATTTTGAGATACTGCTTAATATTAAAAGCGAAAGTAATTTAACCCATTTCAACAACCATCGAAAACAATATTCTGCGTTAATATTAAATAACTCTCCTTTCAATGGGTATTTAATTTTTTGAACACAGGTTGGAACTCAATTTACGAAAAAAGTTTTCTAAGATTAGAGAGACTTTTCTGCACGAATTTTTAAAGCTTGTGCTTTAGAAGAATGATAAAAAAAATATCAACATTTGTTAGAAGCATTAAAAACAAAAAAATAATAATTGTGTTTGTAGTCGATACTGATTTTAAAAAGCATCCCCCTTTTACAACAAACAGAACCAAACAGGAAAAATAGTTTTCCTTTGGTTTATCAGCCTAGTTTGGCAACGAATTCACACGCGGATGAAAAATTGCACTTGGCCAAAATAACTTTATTTCGATTCGGCTCGCTTTGTTTTCACAAAACAAGGCCGGGAGATTTATCGCTGCAACTTTACTGGGCCACTTCTTCTTCTTCTTCTTCCTGCTTCCCCTTTGAAGGAAAATCCTTTCGGCGACGACAGGGCCTGGAGCTAATAGTAATTGGAGGCGGGAAATCGGCTTCACGCTTGACTCGGGCGAATAATAAAATATCCAGCGAGGCGATCGGCTGGCAAAGCATTGTTGAGGGGCGCGCGCGGGACGAAATTAATGTCCCGGCTGACGGGTCCGGCACTCGAGGTGACACAAAGAGAAAGGCGGCGGCGTCTCAACGAGAATTCGTTTCCGGTGGATGGCGCCTTTATCCGACGGCGGCGCCACCTTTGGGCGCGCGCCCATTATTCTGCTCGTACATCATCTCGCGTGCCCCGGCAATGAATGGGATGACACACGAGAATCGCTCACCCTTTTTTCTCCCTTCTTTAAATATTACAATAACACACACAGCAGCAGCCCCGGGGCAAGAAGCTTCTCTGATTTAATAATGTTCTCACTCGGCGAAGGCTTTATCATCCAGACCGGTGTAATTTATGGCGTGATTTTTTTTCTACGCTTCTCGGCAAAAAGCGTTCGCTAAAAGCCCACGCACGTCACGTCTCATTATTCACCTTCCTACCCTGAACGGACCGACCTAATTTGCAGTCGCCCTGGTGCCTGCGGCGGCACGTGACTTTCAAAATCACATCGATTGTGGATTTTCTTTGCCGTCTGAAACAAAGTGCTCGGAACAACTAACGAGGAAAACTTTCGGCCACGCAGACATACAAAAGCCTGAGGATGAACACAGAGAAATTCACTTCCACTCTGCTTGACTTGAACTTTGTTGCAAAAGGAAACTATCTGAACATTTTTTGTTTACTTTCTGTACCATCAAAATTGGCTTCGAAAAGATGTTAAAAAAATGTATAAACATGATTGCAGAAGACACTTATTTTTCATAAGGGAATAAATTTTCAAATTAATGCAAACTAATAAGTTGAAAATGATTGTACGTATTTAATAATGGAAAAGGTTGGTTGAGAATTAAATAACATTTATGAGATAATTAAAAAAAAATGTCAAATGGTGAACTTTGAAGATGAAAATTAAAATTAGAATTTCCTTTTTTCCTGATTAGTTTTCATTTTTGGCCACAGATCAAAAAACCAATGTATTTCAAAGTACAGATTTTGAAATATTCTGTCTAATTTTAATTAAGTGAGTTTTTTGCTATTCTTGCCTTCAATTAAATATAACGAAAAGTGAAACCGGGAAATGCTAGACTTTTTGAACTTGTGAGAAGCGCCAAAAGAAACAAGAACAACACTCTGGCCTTCACCGGACAAACATAAATATTTATCAAATGCAAATATGTACTTTCCATGATATCGCCCTTATTTCCAAGAGTTATGCACGCTGTAAAACGCCACACCGCTGAACGTTTAGTATAAAACGCGACATGTGTGTATGCAACCCGCGTGACACGCTCCACAAACTGTTTGCATAACTTCTAGGATGCTTTCGTGCCAGAATTAATTTCCCTTTCGGTCGTCGCGAGACTCGAGACGTACGTAAGTAAGCGTGGCACAAGTGGCTCGCAAAGTCAAACAAGCGGCTACTTTTTTTTTTACTCCACCGGCGGGGAGGAAAGAAATTGAGCCAACTTACCCAAGTTGTAGATCTCGCACGGCAGGATGACCGTGTCTTCTGTGACTACTCGGAACTTCTTGCTGCCCGTGGCGAACGACGGCGGGCTTTGGCCGACGTCCATCTGTGGCGCGGCCGTTGCCAAAGCTAGAACACAAATTAGCAAAATTTAGATTGTGAATTTCATACTTGAAAAATTTGATGGGCTTTTTTTAATATCATGACAAAGATTTTATTCATATAATGATTATTATTGCTGTTTTATGTCAAAATTTTTAAATATTATTATTTTGGATTACCAATGATCTTTGATACAATACATGCTTAAGTAGAGACATCATTGCAATCAGACATTTTTATGAAATTTTCTAATAATACTGTGCACAAAAAACAGAAATTTTGCCAACTTAAAAATAATTTTTTTAAATATATTCAAATTAACCTTATTAACATCTCATAATAATATATAGTCAAAAGCAATAGCCATTAATTTAAATTTAAATTTTCTTTTATTCAATTTAATAAGTCATCTGCATTAAAATAATTAAAATTCACTTATTTAAATTTAATATTAATAATCGCTTAAAACAATAAATTATTATAAAATTCATAAAATATATAAAAGTTTTTATTTTTCTATTTTAACTTTAAATATTTTTATATTTTAGTTGCAATTAAATAAACATAAGAGTACAAATTTTTCCACTGTGGGCGGACATTTGTGCTGGATTAAAATTTAATCTCGGCCCGTTTTCACCTCGTCCAGATTTTTGCGGCGCCACAAACAACAGCTGCTTTTAGTTGCGCATTTTGCAAATCTGCGATTCCCCTGAGCTAATTTTTCCGGCCCACTGAATTCGGTGCATCCATTATGACTGCCCGCGTTTTATGTTTGTGTGTTCGTTTCGCTTATTTATTTTTCCCCAAAGTCTGCTGGCATTTTTTTGTTTTGTTTGTGATAATCCGGAAAAAGCGTAGCAGTCTCGGATTAACCGGATTGCTTTGTTGTTTTTCCCACTTCGGAGCGAGGGTGCTCGAGGGACGGCAGAGGTCATCGCGCCCCAAATATTTCCAACTGCCAACGACACAAGGTGTGCGAGCTCGTATTTCTCCTCTTTATGGATCTGCAAAAGCACGGGGCTGGCTCGCCATTGGCTGTGACTGCGGGAGAGCCCGATATTGGAAATTTATATGGGAAATACTTGTTACGCCACGGCTGCACAAGTCGACGGCTTTTCCCACTGGGCAGCTTTTAACCTCCGGGTCGCCGCCCGCTGGACCGACGAGAGACCAACAATGAAACTAGCTTTACAACTCTTAAAAGTGTGTTGCGAACCTTTTAAAAGTTTCGCCGCGCGACGACCCCAGGCGAGCCAGTGAGCGTCGCTCGAGGAAAAAGATGATGAGAAGGAAGATTCTTTGAGCCACGTGAGCAGCAAAACGTCCGCATTTGAACCTTTTAGCGCATTGCTCTTTATGAAACGGGAGTAAAAGTGCATCCTTTGAAACTGAAGTCTGTGAGAAGAGAAGAGAGCTTTTAATCTCGCTAATCGCAAATGCAACCACAGGATGATTGTTTTGAAATTTACACTTTCTTGTTTTATTACGTTCCTAACTAGCTGAATTGCACTCAACACTAATCATATGCAATATTATTGTTAAAAATTCCTTTTTTTTAAAGAAATTTTACACTTGAGGAGATGATCATGGAAATGAAGAGCACGGACTTTTTTCTTGGTGTAAAAAATTGTCTTAATTAAAAAAATAAAACAATACGGCTCTTCCAGTTTAGGTTTGCGACTCTATTTCATGAGCAAGAAAAAAAACCCAGCAAATTGTAACAAATTTGTTAGTTTTAAGATTTTGTTGTAGTTTAAAATGTGGTTATTTTCAATTGGCTGATTCCTAGTATTTTTCTTGCTCCTGAAATAGGGTCGCAAACCGTGACCGAAACTGGCAGAGCGTCTTGTTGTTGAAAAAAAAAATTTTACAACGAGCAAAAAACCAGTTGTTCTCTTCATATTAATTCATATTTATTAATTTTTTGAAATGCATTTATTCTTATTTGTTGTTAATTTTTAATAATTCTCCTTTTACATATCTTTATTCCCATTGATAAATCAATAATTAACTGTCGTAACATCAATGCCTAATGAGATAATTAATGAAATAAGTAAAATGTGCATAGCTGTAACCAACCAGTTGACAGATTTGTTGCTTGACTATAATGTGTAACTTATTTTCAACGTGAATTATTTATATTAATAGTAACTCTATGTTAAAATTTGTAAAATTTGATAAATATAAGAAGAAAATCTACTCATAAAAAAAGTAAAAAATAAATTAAATTAAGAACATTAATTTTTAAAAATAACATATTATACTATAACATATTAAAAATTAAGAAAACTACAAATTTTTTATGAATTTATAATTTAAATATTTTTATTAACAATTATACTCTATTGCATATTATTATTATTATTATTTTTTAAACTTACAAAGTAACATAATCACCAAGAAAATATATTTTAATATTTTTAATAATATGCCATCTCACTTCAACTTGTTTAGATTTTGTGGAGCCTCAAATTTGTATGTTGAAACTTTATCAACGTTTTAAGAAATGATAATTACAAAGATGTCTATTTGATCAAACCTAGCATTTCTTCAATTCTTTCTGTACCACTTAGACTACAATTTGAATCAAATTTGTCTTTGCTTTAATATATTTTAAAATTTTAAAGAAGAAGTCTTCGTGAGCGTCTCAGCAAATATTTCCCTTGCAAATCTCGAACATAAAAGTGCACATAATTTGACACGAAGCCGCGTAATCACCGATTCACCCTTTGAGGCGCTCAGCTTGAATTTGCCGGAACGGAGGCGCCGGCGAGTCAGAGTTTGCCGGATCAATTATGCAGCCAAATGCAGTGCAGCCGAGTGCATAGTGCGCCGCCAGCTGAACCTTTATTGCCGTCGCCGATGAAGACAAACGGAAAGAATGGCCATGTTTTATTCATGCCGGCCCGGCGCTTCTTTTCTCTCATGTGCTTTTGACGACAAGGTAATGCCAACAAAGCAGGAAAGCAAGCCAGAGATCCATTTAAAGGGGCAGCCGGATTAGAAACACCGCAGAGAGGAAAAGCCTTTGATTTTTGTTTCGGCCAAAATGTAGTAGAAAAAAAATAAAAGCTTCTTCTCAAAAGGAATCTTACGGTGATGAAAAATGGAGCGCCATCCTTTTAAGAGATTTCTCCTGTCCCATCGTTTCACCCGAAAATCTATAACGCGCCTACCTTTTTTTTCTATAAGCGACTTTTCGCTGTAAGTGCAACTTTGCCCGGCCAGTCACTTTATTGTGAGATGTAAGCTGCAAATTATGGACTACTTTCCCTTGACTGCGATTCAGCCGAAATTGCGTCATAAAAAAGCGACAGACCCCTTTTTTCCTCCGATGCCCAGCGAGTGGAGAATAAGAGATCATCATCGTCCTATTACAAGCAGCAGCTCAAAAACTTTGCTCTTTTCTTGTGTACACGAGAGAGATTTTCTTCCCTTTTCTATTTTAATAAATTGCTCCAGTCGCATTCTATATCCAGTATAGGAAATGGAAGCAGTATTTACTCAAAAAACTTTCGAGATTTATTCTGGTCATTTCCTTATAGCCCCAGACGTCAGTGTGTGCAAAGTATAAATCGGCGGAAAAATACACATAGACTCACTCTTTCTTTCCTCTCTCGGTTTTTCTTCCTTTGCCTTTCTCGGCGGCGTCGCCTGCCTTTGTTTTGGCCCGGAATTATTGCGTCTGTGGGAGAAAAACAACTCTGGCTGGCTCCGTTGCCGTATATGCTCGGAAAGTATTCAAATAACGGCGATGAATCATTGCAGGCCGTTTTTTCCCTGCTTTCCGCGAGAAAAGATTCGCTTCGGGCGGAATAAAAACGGAAAAAAAGTGTGGAGCGCGACCGAATACATACATAAACATGCATGAATATGAGAGCCACTTTCTTCCTCTCGTTCTGCGTGTGCGAAAAAGAGTGTTTTTGTGTTTCTTTTTCCAGAAATTTATGCCCGGCTGGAATAAATCGCTGTTTCATGTGGGTATTTGGAGTGGAAAATTTATCGCATGGAGTTCTTTCTCTCCACTTGTTTTAATCACGTGGCAAAAAAAAAGAGTTCTCGAAACAACTTTGCTTGTAATGATGAAATATTATCTTTTTGTAGAAATAAATATTGGAGCAGAAATTCTTCATCTCTGCTTATGCTAATTTATATCTCATTGAACTTGGCAAGCATTTCATTCTGACAAGCAAAACAGAACGATGGCAAAAAAAATTGTATTAAACCGCATAATTTATTGACCAAAATTGATTGAAAACTACATCATTTTTACTTAGCTTAAAGTTATTATTTTTTTTGCACTTGACTAATTTTATATTTTTTGTAAATTATTTTATTAATTGTTCTGTTATAAACATGAATTATTTATTTTTTTTCCTTTCAATTAATCAAATTGCTTGAAAAAATTGTCTTTCAATCATTTATATTTTACTTATTTTTGACAGCCACGTTTTTATTCACTTATCATTTTTGTCCTGTCAAAATGCAGGTGACACATGGATGAGCCTCAGGGCCAAGCGAATTCCATATCAACGCATGTTTCATATAGTTTGGCACACACAAATGTGTATAACAAACTTGTTACCGACGAGATGTTGAAAGAATCGAGGCAAAGCGCCCAGAGCCAAGAAGCCCCGAATATGGAGCAGCCAAGGACTATTCATCATCACTTCTCGATCCTCTCTGCGGCTCACAATACAGCGTGTATCAATTTCCATCATCATCATATCCTCTCTCTTTTTGTGTTGCACAAAAAAGGGATCGCATCAGAATATCACACCATAGACGTCGCCACCCGTGGTGGTCAGACTCTTTTGAAACGCCTTTGTTGGTATTATCGAGGGGCGTTTACGGGATTTATCAGGGAAATGTTCACCCTTATTTTGAATCCAGTAAATATTGATTTCAAGCAGGACGGAAAATTAAAATATTTAAATTTATTTTCCTCTTTTTACTTGTTTTTTCTTCAGTTTGATTAAATAAAATTAAGTATTTAAATTCAAGTTTAATAAATATTTTCAAATAAT